ACCAGGAGCCCCAACCCTGCACACCAGGAGCCCCCAAGGAGCTTCCAGCCCTGGTCAGGCCCAGGTGAGCAGTCCATGTACAATTGTCCCCAGAGATTCCTTAATCATGACGTTGCAGTGGGGCGAATTCCCATGTGACCAATGTATTTGATTACAATCTCGTGGTTGCACTTTTAAAAACCCTTTTATTAGATGAGTAATGTGTGGTCATGGTAGAACAGAAGAAGAAAGAACTGAAGAGAATTAAGCCTTGCTTTTAATATGACCATAATGCTACAGCATGAATGTTTTCCCTTGTCTCTTGCTTGTTTCTTCCCGGCAGCCATTTGGAACGCCTCAGGGCTCTGGTGGTTTTGTACCTGCTTGATGTGTCCTCAGGATTGTTGATCGCAGAGGCCAACAGTTATTAGTTTCAATACAGGTCACCCTTTAAGTATTTTACCCAAATGTTAGTAGAAGTACAGCTGTAAGTAGCTAGGGCGTTTCAAAAGTAATACGCAGCTAGTCACAGACTGGAAGGCCGTGGATGCCGGAGATCACAGCACGCCGGGCTTCGACTTAGCAAAGCCAACTGCATGCGACTGAGGCTCTTTCTCCAAAATTACTGGAACCAGAGTTCCCTTGGTGGAGAGCTGTAAATGTCAGCTGTGTTGAGCTGCAGTCACCACCCTTGGCAATGGAAACATGGTTATCAGGGTTTTTCAACCTAATTGTGTGTGTGTGTGTGTGTGTGTGTGTGTCCTTCATGTACAATTCACGCTGACTTCCGTGCGCCTACACGCTCTCCCCAGCTGAGTACATTCCTTCTTTCTGGCAAGTGTTACTGCTAAGCAGAAACACCAGCTAGCCAAACAGTTCCATGTTCTGTTCATCAGAAAGCAAACAGCAAAATCACCGATAAACGAAGTGGCTCTGTGAAACTTGATGGAGCAGCAGATCTAACTAGCACCTCTCCCGGGTTTGGAGTGGACCACTCTGGGAAGGACTCATCTTCACTGAAGGCCACTCGGGCCACTGGCTGGCATGGGCAGACTGGTATCTGGAAGATGTCATGTCCTCCAAGGCCACAGGGGGCCACACTTCTGCAGTGTCACCTGGCCTGGCTCACCTGGGTGAGGGGGACCTGGGGTTTCACCCTGCCGCTCTGTGAACACAGGCATCTCTGAATAACCCGATCATGAGTCTAAGAAAGACACAGCCCTTGGAAAATTGGCTTGGTAATTATGCCTGCTTCAACAGAGTCCAGTGATTAAACCAGAAGACTCTTCCTCAGAGTACTCATTTCTTGCCCATAAAGGAAATCTCTGTGACCCTAACACAAAGTTCTGTGGTAAGTCCATGGATGCTACAGCAAACTGGAACAATCGGAACCCAAATGTATTTGATATAAGATTCAGACATCTCATGACCACCTCTTCTTTCTTTCTTTCTTTCTTTCTTTCCTTCCTTCCTTCCTTCCCTCCTTCCTTCCTTCCTTCCTTCCATTTCTTGCTCCTTCTTTCCTTCCTCTATTCCTTCCTCCCTCCTTCCTTTTTTTTGGTGACATGTTACACAAATGTGAAAGAAGCCTTCGAATTCAATGATGGAATCAAGGAGATGTTACATCCAGTATGGGTTCCCAAAGATCAAATGTTGTCCCCTGGTTTATGGAGAAGACCACTTCTTCTTTGAATACCTCAGTGTATAGTCCCGGGGAAAAGCACACACCAATGGCCCAAAGCTGGGCCTACCACAGCTCCGCTCCGGGCATGGCCACCTGTGTCCTTTCTAGGGAGGCCCCTGAGATGCCTCACCTCTAAAATGAGTGAAGTGTGAGGACAAAAGTGGCCCGCCTCCTGGGACACAACATTCCATTATGGAAGGGAAATGGCATCTCGGAGTCCACGCAGGAATGCAGAAATGGGAACTTAAGAGGATTGATTGAAAGATATGGTTAATGTTTAAATTTGAAAACTTGTTATAGTCAAAGACTAAGACTAAGAGACAGATGAGTTCACACCAGGGGGCGGTACTCTGAGGATGGAGGGCAATGTGTCTATCACTGTAACTTTTTAAAAAAATTTAAACATTCATTGATCAAACATTCAAGGCAACTTAATAAAAAACTTTACAGTGTGCCCTTATCCACCAAGCTCACCATATTCTGGCTTTTCCTGGAGGCCAAATGACCAAGCAAAATGAATGTTTTGAATTAATTCAGGACATCGAGGCAGCCACAACAGGCAACCAGAGACACTCACGAGAGAGAACTCCAGAACTGCTGCAGCAAGCAGCGAGGACAAGTACTCAGTGCGCTGGAAGTCAGAGGGTGTGCTGCGCAGGGAAGCCGTGGTGATGAACCATTGTGTTCTAACACATTTTTTGCAATTTAAAAACCCACCATATTTGTATTAGACCCCATGTACCTGTCAATGCATGGTCAACTAGAAACTTTTTTTTTTTTTGCGGAGCTGAGCCATCTCCCTGGCCCCCAACAAAGTCTTTTTTTTTTTTTTTTTCAGGACCTTGTGCTTGCTAGGCAAGCACTTATTCCACTGAGCTATCTCCCCAGCCCTAGAAACATTTTAAAACTAAAATGAAATTCTTGCATGCTTTTCTTCAAAAATGGCATGTGAAAATTTTTTTAGGAGCTTTGCTATAAAATACATGGAGGGTGCATAGCTGCAGCTTATTACGCTGATAAATTGATAAATATTTTAGTATCTCTATTATATTAATCAAAATTTTTAAAGCTATGCTATTCTTCATTTTGAGCAACTATCTTGATAATTTTGGTTACAACTCAGGAGTGAGATGAGCTATCTTTTATTTGAAAAAAAAGTTTACACTTTAGGCCTTCCACAGGGTGATCTGGAAGTTCAAGTCGGTAACGCATGGAAAAGCCGCAGCCTCCCTCACATCCACGTTTTCTGTGCTGTCCCATAGACAGCCTCGTGGCAGCGATCTTCCAGGTGGCACAGAACTGGGAAAGCGAACTTTTGTACAATTATTTAAACTTCCAAAGGAGGAAGTATATGTGCATTTTGTTGGTACATCTCATCCAGAATAATAAGAAGCGAGCTAGGTACACGTTTCTTTTTCCTGTTATTGTTTGAAGGTTTGTTTTTTAAGAAATTAGCTGCTTTGATCTTAGGAAAGGAATTCCTTTATGCTTGATGTGCTACAGGTCTCTGATAAGATCAAATACACGTAATTTAAATACTAACCTTGTATTAAACATCAGCTTTAAAGAAACCTCTCTCACCCAGTTAAATAAGTAGCTTAGGGTTTCCCCTACCAGAGGGGGAAACCCTTCCCTTTAAGACTATTGCTAAGCATGGACCAGTTTCTGAAGAATAATTGCCTTAATGCAGGGGCTGGAGGAGGCTCCAAACAAAGCTGTTTTAATCATTGCTTTGAGGTCAGAAATTGGGGCAGTTAGTTGCAATCAATGGAACATACCCCAAGGTTCAGAATATGCTCCAGCACGTGAGGGACTGCTTAGCCCCGAGACCGCGCCTGCAGCCCACCTCTGAGAAGCTGCCCAACCCCCTCCCCCTCCTTCCCTTCCTCCTCCCCTTCCCCTCCCCCTCCCCC